TCAAAAAGAATTGCGTGGTTGGCCGATAGACTACAGATCTCTATCATAGGACAAATTTATATCGTTTCTACCCTATATCCTTTATTTCGCGCATTCCTAGTACCGAATTCGATACTTTTTTAAGTACAGACGGAATTCTGTCAGTACTACTTAGGACCTATTCACGTAACATCAAAGGGTACCATGTTTCGGTACCTAAACGCATCATTGTGACTGTATTGGCGTAAGAGTGGGAGATTTTCCATGCTTGTCATGAACACAGCATCGCGCAAGAGCGTAATGACGTCAGCAGCCACTGGTTCAGTAAACAGCTCGGTCTGAACTTAGCTTGAAAGCCTCGCAGCTCCTGGAGTGAAACTTGCCGAACAGACCGTCTCTGAATTATCTGCTGGATTAATTATCTTGTGAACACGACGTTTGCTTGCTCAAAGTAAAATAAAGTACAGCCACTTTCTTTATTTCATCCACCATTAAACAGAGACCGGAAGTGGAAAACAACAGAGGTACTTGCCGACAGTCCGAACACGTCTGACCTGAAAGAGCACAAGCAGCCAAGTAAAGTGTTGGACGTGTTTTGGATGCTCAAAACGCAGCTTGAATAACTTTTATTTATTTTAACTCCATCCTCTTTTGCTTATTTGATTTAAACTTATTTGCCTTCCATGGATCTCCATCACACAATTTTTCTAGCTGGGAAATGACATCAATAGAAATACGTGGAGCTGGATTTTAATTTGTGCAATAAGACAAAACAGTCTTGTTGTTTTCAAGAGTTTTCACTTTAAAGAAACAAGTTACACAACTGATGTTACAATACAAAGAGTTGGATGTTGTCTTGATATTTGTTAAATGTTATATATTGAGAAATATGTTTAAAAAAAGTTTATTATTAAAAAACAACACACACACAAAGTACCGAATATTGGTACCGTACCAGATATTGGTACCGAATGGATTCAAATGTCAAAGGTACCCATCCCTACACTAGTTCAACATTTTTTTTCAGCAACCAGTCTTTTACCGTTGTTCCTGTCCCTGAGGTGGTCTGTGTCGCGGACGGTGTTGATGGAGAGGTTGTTGATGACACTTCCGGGGGTCACATAAGGGTCAGTCTCAGGGTCAATGTTGGGGTAACCTTTCCAAGGCTCCCCGGGCCGGAACTCTGCAAACAAGAACCCAGAAGCAATTAGCAGTTTTCAAAGCAAACCGCTGGAAGCTGTTTGTGAATCTGAAAAGCGCATGTACCTGGGGGCCAAGTGACAGTGTTTCCGTGGGGTGGGGGGGAGTTGGCACGGGGCGGCCAACCATCGCCCACAGAGCCCATTGATTGGCCGGGAGGACTCAGGGGAGACGGACCAGGAGACAGGAAATCATAGAAGGGAGAGTCCTCCAGACGCAGGCCAGACGACATAGCACCTGTGGGCCGAACACAGCATGCACACAAGTCTATTAAAAGGAAAACACACAATTTAACAGCTCCAAATAATTTATCCAAACATACTTTGATATGTAATGGATTAAACGTATATATGTGACCCATCACCTCGAAATGAGGTTTAAGTCAAATTAGTTCAAAATGACCTCATCATATTTCAGATTCCTGACTTTAAAAGCTACATTTTGATACTTAGATCATCCTGATATCATTAGTAGAACCAGAGATAGTTAATTTGTCTTGTTTGTTACAACAATACATAAATATTTGGTCTAAATCCTAATTTTATGTAATTTTAATGAGGATTTTTTTATGTCATTTGAAAAAAGAAACCTCAAATAGTATTTGAATACTGAGATTTTCCAGCTGAAAAGAAACAAAAGCTTTGATAGCTTACAGTGAAAATCTCAACATTTTAAGGCATTTTTCCTCAAAATCTGGTTTCTGGTTGCTAYAACTCAAGAAGGTGCTTCAAAAAATTTTTTTTTTCTGTTCACTGAAATGATACATTGATAACACATTTATTAGTTATATTTTGATAAAATGTTATTTTTACAAGCGTTTTAATCAAAACACTATATCTGCCTATTTCTCCACATACAACTTTTAGACTTAATCCTCGTTTCGATGTGATGGGTCACATATTTAACAGCAAACATGTTTGCATTAAGCCTACTACAGAGAAACTGTTGTCTAACATACCAGGTTTGCTGTTCTGCTCCAGAGGGTCAGCAGCCCAAAGTTTCTTCAGTCTGGACTGGGGTGGCTCTTTGTAGTTCACAGCTCCACCACTACTACTGCTTCCACCACCAACACCCATGTCCAGGGATACATTCAGGTTAGAGTTCAAGCCTACAAATGAACAGAAGATAAGAAGTCAGCCTCAACTGAATCTAATGGCTAGGTCATGAAATAAAGCCTGACCGCTTTTATTTAACGTACTTAAAGGGAAGTTGAAGGATCCGATGGTGGCAGAATCCTTCTGCATCTCAGGGGGATTCTGGGACAAGTAGCTATCAGGGTATGTTTTGTGTGGCAGGGCCTGCTTCATCAGGGAGGGGTCCAGGTGTCGCGGCGGCTGCATCATCGATGGGGATGAACCAATGGGACGCGTCTGGGGAAAAAGAAAATAATAAAATAAAGAAATGACAACTTAGGCCCATGCGACTGCTGTAGCACTGCGAAGTAAAATTTATCAGAATTACTGGACCCACACCTGATCGTTCTGACGACCCACAGGCATGGCTCTCTGGTTTTGAACCTTCTGTTGCTGCTGATGCTGAAGGAGAAGACGCTGTGGACAGAAAATGTTTTACAAAAATTAAAACTGTAGCCATATATTTTGATCAGAGTTTATAGAAACAGGGAACATTTACCACACTGATCATTAAAATGCAGTACGAATGCAGTTCACATATTTTGACAATATCTGGATGTAAGTTAGTTTATTTATTTTTTTGTTCCCTACCTGCAACTGGCTGATCTGGTTGAGCTGCGATAGCTGGTTGAGCTGGGACAGTTGGTTGAGCATAGCCACCTGCTGAGGACCAAACAGCGATGTCAGACTACTGTTAGCTCCTGGGTACTTCAACAAGGACGGGGGCACCTGCACAGAAACAAGATTTAAGTTTCAAAGCAGTTTGGGTCTTCAGATTCTACTCGGTTTAACGCTGTTTGATCTGTAGTGTTTTATTTTCCCTCATGTCTGACAATCACATTAAGCAGCAACTATGAATCAAAAGAATTAAAAACAGCACTGAACAATTTCAGAAATCAAATATTTTACTAAACCAAAACAAAAGCTGCTTGGATGTATGAAAAAACACAAATCGTGGCTACGCTGTAAATGAATCTCTGAAAATACTCAAGTTTTTACATCAATATTAGTCTAAACAAAATATTTTCTACAAAAATGATCAATAAATACAGAGAAAACAGTATTTCGTGGAGGTTTCTATGCTACCTGAGAGGGCAGGATGGGTGGAGGCACTTGGTTACGAAGATTGGGTTGAGGTGGGGGTTGGGATTGGGGGCCGCCACGGCCCTGTGCTACGCTACTGCCGCCCAACATAGGGTTTACATTCTAAAGAAAAATCACACAGAAAAATAATTACAAGTTTAACAAGTTACAACATTTCCCTCAACATTGTTAATATAGGTTTGGAGTAAATTATTTGGAAACTATAAACATAAATAATATGTATTTTTAAGCTTGAAAATATTATACAATACCGCCTATTTTTATTTAGGCAGTTCTTTAGATGTGTCAGAGTGAGACTACAGGCTCAAGACCAAAAGACAAGCCTGATCTTCATCCTTCCAGACTCACCTGTGGAGCAGCCCCAGAACTAGAGTGGGACAAGGTTGGCCCAGAACTGACACAGGAGACTGGCTGAGCAGAATTGCTAAGGGAAAGGCTCATGCTTTGACTGGAGGAGAGCTCATCAGAAGCTGGGCGATCATAGGCAGAAAGCTGCAGAAGCAAAAGCCGGGGTATGCAGCAGAGGGACGGCAAGCACAAAAGGACAGGAAGCACAGCGCCAGCCAAACAAGCACAGAGAGGGAAGGAGACAAGAAAAGAAAATAATTAATTTTGCATAAGAAGGCAAAGAGAAGGAGGAAGAGCGAAAAAGAAACAGGAAATAAGAGAACCTGCAGGGGAAAATATTGTAATAAAGTAAAACACAATCACAGAAGAGAGGGGATAAACTAATGAAATGGAAAAAGGCGTGAGCAGTTAGAAGTAGAGAAGTTGTTCAGGTGAACAAGACGTTAGAAACAAAAGAATAAAGTATGCAGCAGCAGTGCTAAAGCAAAAGCAGCAAAGCTAAACTTGAGGCAGCTTGTAAAGAATTACCAAATTATCACTATGGATTGCTTGACACCTTTGTAAAAATACCAACTACTACTTAGTAGGCCTATCACAATAACAAATTCTGCTGGACAACAGATTGTCTCAGAAATTTTTGCCATAAACAATAATATTGTTTGGAGACCATTTTAAGCTAATATAATGATCTCTGCCCTGCTTACGAACTGTGGTCACCCACCACACTGCTCACAAAGTTTAAGGAAGTGTCTGAAATTTAATTAGTCAAAACAAACAAACAAACAAATAAATAAATAAATCGGTGAACCCAAGGTTCGGCACGGTGCCCTGAGGAAATCCTGAGGCATCGCCAGCTAAAAGGTGGCGCTGGAAAACCGACGGTGCTCATCTAACTAAGTGCCTGTTCATAAGGCTCTCACGCTACAGAGGTTACGAGAACATGCACCTGGCAAATACCTGACATCTGAGTTCACTCCTCCCTATGCTAGAGTAGAAATGACGGAGACACAAAACAAGAAAAAAACAAAACAGGCAAGCAGGCAAATAAAATTGATCAATCTCATTTGATTAATTGGTTTACTGTTTAATGACAGGTCTACTACTTATTTAAGTGGAGCATTCTGTTTGGTTTTCAGGCTGAAACAATATTTTACATTTATTTTCCACTAGCGCCTCTACAGCACGGTTTGACTGGCACAGCTCTGTTCAGCAAGATACAAGTGAAAGACATCTCTTTACAAAAAGCACACATGCAGTTACTTAAAACAACCACAAAGGGGTGTAGGTGAGATGAGAAATCACCTCCAACTAGACATTTGCCAACTAAAGACTTCAGCTCTAAATAGGCAGTGAAACTGTCCGGGTCTGTTTACCTTGTCAAAGTAAGAACTGCGATCCATGGCAGAATCCTTGTGGAACTGGTGTCGGGACCCCAGGTTCTTCCCCACCACACCATTGAAGTCTCCCATATTGCTCATGTCCATCCGTCTGTCTGTCACCATTCCTGCTGCCTTCATGGGATCATCAGGAGAATCTCTCTGCAAGTTCAAACACAAGAAAAGTTAACAGGAATCAGGAAAACCCCAACAGCTAGAAAAAAAGTGTTCATTTACAGCAAGTCAAATGTTTGGATGCCTTCAACTCATTCAGTTCAATTCAAAAATATTTTATTGATCCCAGAGGGAAATTAGGTAATGATTTCTGAGAGAAGCTGTGCTGCCGTCATTCAACACGTTTACCTTTCATCCTTTTTAAATGTTTTTGATTTTATAAAAAAAATCCTGACATAAAAAACTATTTAAAATCATTGACCTGAAAAGAGTACTCACAGAGAAGTTCATGTTGTTGAACTGGTTCATGAAAGGTTTCATCCAGGGTTCTTCCTGTTTGTTGACTGGTTTGTTCATCTTAAAACAGACAACAAAAAAATAACGTCAACAAAACATAAAACTGATCCGTCTCAATCTGGATGAAATGTCCGAATCATGTTTGACATATTCAGATGTGGAGATTGTGGAGAACAAACCTTGTTGGAGCCTTTATTCTTGTAGTTCCAGGTGTTTTGGTCGTGAGACCTGTTGTCCTGCTGACTGTTGCTCCACATCCCGATCTCCACCTCTTCTTCCTGATCCCAGCTGTTGCTCATGGACGCATCGTCGCCACACCACGTCTCCATGGGCTTAGGAGCTGAAGATAATAAGGATGGAGGCAGAGATGTAGAAGCAGAACACATTTAATACTGTAACTTCTGTCTRAAAGAAAAATCTTCACTCAAAACCATTTCTCATAAAACGTGTTCTTGGGTCCACCTACCAGGTTTGTTTTGGGTGCCCCAGCCAGAATCTCTGCTGTCCCTGCTGGGCTCATCCCAGCCAGCAGTGCTGTCCATGGGCTTCCCCCAGGCAGATGTCCCATTGTCCACTGTCACAGGTGGGCCAGCTGTAGGCTCCCCCCATGATGAAGACTCTTTTTGCTGGGGGTAAGGCTCACCCCATCCTGCAGGAAACACATTTGAATCATGGTATGAGCTCTAAAGTGTGCACTTAAGTAGATCAGACATAGCTGATATTTGGTGGGAATTTAATCTTTTTGCTTTCGTGACACTGATAACACTTCAACATGGAGGACCTTTTAATTAATTTTAATTATGTCAGTGTCTGTCCTCCATACTTAGAAAAACCTTTGGTCCTAATGTAGATGTTCTTATTCTCCTTGAATTGAAGATTACACTCKTGTCCCTGTGAAACGGAGCGTCACTTTGGTTATGTAAGTGTTTATTTGAATATTTAACCTTTGAAGCCCCAGGACCAAGTGTAAGTGTATCCCTGAAATTGTGTGCTCACATTCAAAAGGCTCGAGTTGCAGCTGACCACCCAAACCTGCCACTTTCTCCCTCCACAGGGGGAGTCTTGTGAGATGCCAGGGATACTTCCCTGTAAAAATAGGACTGATCATGGGATGGGCTCCAGATCTRGTCTCGCATGCACGTCCACAAGTACACAACAGCATGACCAAGAATGCACARAAATAAACAAACTAAGATAAAAGTCTTAAACCTAGAGGAAATTTATCCACTTTWATGTTGACAGAAATACACTTCTTTACACACARTTAAAATGTATAATCTTCAACCTCTTCCTTTAAATTTATTTCCTGTTACTGCTTTAACTGATCCAAGATATATTTTTAGATATCTCAGACTAAAAGTAAACACCTTAGACCTGGTACTCTTTTTTCCACAAGGTCTGTCTTTACAGAACGTTCAGCTCACACAAAAATACAAACACATTAACCAGTGATTCACAAAGCCAGGAATGTTTTCCAGAGCAGGAGCTGGGTGGTTTGTCCAACCTTTTCCTTTCTAGGGCTCACGTAGCTGCTTCATTTAGTTCACTACACAATGAGCCCTGAAGAACAACCTCATCCCTGCACTGCTACTCCTCAGGGCCTCTCTAAAGAACAGCTTCCTTGCTTAGTTTTCCAATCTTACACTGAAAACCATTTCCACCATTACCCCCCAAAAAACTGCCACTCATGGTCCCTCTTGCTCTATTCTACTGAAACCCAACAAAAGTGTGTGTTTCTTGTGCAAATGGTGGGCGAGCAAAAGAAAGCAAAGAGGGAAAAAAGGTGAATGAGAGAAAAGGAAACATTGATGCTCTTAGCATTCCAGAGGAATGACTCAACCGGCTTTACAAAAAGCCCTGAGGCACAGCAAGGAGACAGAGGACTGGCTGGCTGTACAGGCTTGATTTTAACCCTCTGAAAATTGTGTGTGGCGTTGTATGCATTTGAGTGTGAGTGCCAGCCTGCCTGCCTGCCAGCCTGCCATCCCTTTTTTCATGCACGTTCACATATACAAAACATACCTGAACTGCTGCTTTTATCCTGGTTAATATGCTGCATAGGCTGAGTGGAGTTGTGTGCTGGGTGGGATTGGCTCTGAGAGGATGGACCCGTGGCCTCCTGATCCGACTGAGTAGTCTTGTTCCACATGTTGACAGATCCACCATTGTATTTACCTGCACATTAAGCAAAACAAATTGGAGAAATTAACTCAAAAATACCTTTTTTCGATTACAAATCTCAAGCTGTTAAGAATAGCATCTGAGGTTGTGTTTACCAGGATCCCCCCAAGCTGCAGTTCCATCATCGATTTCCATTCTCCGACGAATGGACTCTGGAGAAGGTTCCTCCCATCCAGTTGCAACTTCCTCTTTCTGACCCATGGGCATGGGCCCCCCCAGCCAGCCTGAAATGTGAACAAAAGAATAGCATTAGATGAGTCAGAAAGTTAAAAAACTCATTAAATATAAAGAGAAGTAAAAAACAACTACTGCCCAGATATGTACCTGTAGGCTTGTTGGAGCTTGGATTGCCTCTCGACATGTTTGATTCAGGACCTTTCCCCCACTCATTAGAGGGTTTAGAGTTGGACTCGGCCCAATTCTGAGAACCGTGGTTGTTCTTCATGGGCTCACCCCAGCCTTGATTGTTACTCTGAGGACTGGGTTTGTTGACAGTGTCTCCCCAGTTGGAGCCAGGGTTTGGAGTGCTCTGGTCTGGAGTATTTGATCCCCCGCTGCTTACCCAGGTGTTAYTGCTGCTAGTGTTGGTTCGACCTTGCTCGCTCCAGCATCCAGAGCCAGACCGGTCGCTGTCGCTATCCCAGCCCGCTGAGCCCGCACCTTTTTGAGGTTCCCCCCAGTGGTTGCTGGCCCCTGGTCTTGAACCATCACCACCCCAAGTTTCATTTCCATTCCCACTATTGGAACCCCAGCCCTGCTGCATTTTAGGTGCATTAGTCCATGTAGAGGACCTACAAAAAGAGGGTTGGTAAACTTAAAAAAATAAAGGAAAAACAGATTAAAATATATCAGAAATAAAATTTTAAAACCAATCATTACCTGTCTTCTTTAATGTTGTTGTTCCAGGTGTTACTACTCTTGTAACTGGTTTCATCATCCCAGCCACTATTTCCACTTCCTTCGTTAGAGGGTCCTTTAMTTTCCCACCTAGATGTTTGTCTCTGTTCTCCCCAGCCAGAACCACTCTCTGAGCCTGAGCTGCTTGGCCCAACCCCCCAACCTGCAAGCACATAAAATATGACTAATTTACTTGTTTCTTAGTTGTTTAATGTGTTTTTTTAATACAGTATTATCACATCAAAGATAAGTTCCAGTTTATTTTTCGTTCATGAAAAGGTATAAAACAAAGAGATACATTACAAAAAATGGATTACCATATTTAGTCRTGTATAATACGATCTCATGTGAAATACGACACCCCCTATTTTTAGCCTAAAAAGCACAAAAAAATTCAATTCTGATACTACCTCTAATTTCATTTGGACTTCAGGATTGTTCAGCCTTTGCAGTCATATATATATATATAAAATTATCATTTGACTGTTGTATCAGTTTTTGATTTCATTTTAACAACATATGTACTAAAAAGGTACACAACAACAAATGTATAACTACAACAAAAGCTATCAATGCTCATTTGTTAACTGGTGTGGTCTAACAAACAGAYAGAGCTATGTGGCTYTAACAAGTGTGGATGAAGCTGAATCAAAGCCTWCAAAATCAGGCTCACCATCATCAGTATCATTAAAAGTTTATGGTATTCCTCCTCTGTAGTAAAGGCATCAGAATCCCACTCAATAACAATTTCATCCTGTCTCCCGAGCGCCCCCTCAGGTGGAGAAACTTTTCGGGTAGACCAACTTTTACAGAACAGCGGTAGACGGCAGCCATTACAGCCGAACATGTTTGTTGTTGTTCCAGGAGCAGCCTGGTCGCACATTAATATCATTAGTTTGTTATGCAAGACTGCATTTTTTTCTTTTTTTTTTCACATCATGTTGCCTGCTTGGATCTGTTACTATCTCGCTCGAAGGCACAAAGGAGTGTTAGAGGTAAGCTCGCTTCAAGCGCTTTTTACGACATGGTTGCATTTCCGGACTAAGGGATTTTGTGAATGAGGCCGATATTTCTGTTAAAATACATCAGCAAAAATATTTATCTGAGTATAGTACTACCCCCTAACTTTGTGCATGATTTTATGGATTAAATTTTACGTATTATACTTGAATAAATACAGTATATTAAGTATACCAAATGAAAAGGGTAGAGAAAGAAGAAAAAATCCCACATCTGCCCCTTAAACAATAACTTAAGCTTGAACAATTTCCAAATTAGAAAAAGTAAAAAAACACAAACACACATTAGGCATTCTTCATATCCTGGCTCTACCAAACATTATGCTCTGCAAATGTTATATGCTTACCTCCAGAAGTCTGGGAGGGAGCTGCCGTTGCTGCTGAGCCCCATCCGGAGCCTACACTTCTCGGTTTTCTTTCCTCGCTTCTGGGATCCTTGATTGCAGGAGAATTCACATCCCAGATGGTGTTCTGCCGTATGGGCGTCTGTCCCCATCCCGAGTTGGACAAAACCCTTGGATCTACATCAGCCCGGGCCAGTGTTGGTAGTACTGCTGGGCTAGGGATAATCTTCCTACGGTTTCCTCCTTTAGACTGGTTGATGTCTCTGTCTGAGCTGGATTTACCTCCAGAACTCTCAGCGCTTCCTTCACTTCCTCCAGAGCGACCCCAGCCTCCAGAAACACTTCCACCATTACCCCCTCCCATGCCCATGGCATCATCCTCTAGGCTCTTCCACCCATTGTTGGCAGAACTTCCTTTTTGACTTCCAGCATCTGAATTGTTGTTGAAAGGAGTTGCTGAGCCCCATTCACCGTTGGACATTTTGCTGTTAGATGTAAAAGATGACGATGAGGAGGAGGAAGAAGAGGATGCACTGCTTCCCCAAGGGCGAGGTATCCCTGCTGGAGGACCCATAGTAGTTTGGTTTCCATTTCCTGATGTTGGGGCTGTAGAGCCTGAAATTTGATTAAGGCCAACATTCCAGGACAAGTTACTCTGAGGCTGGTTTGTGGTATTAGTGGGCCCTTGGTCCCATTGTGGGGCCCCAGTGTTGTTGTGGTTATTATTACTTTTGAAAGCAGCAGTAGAGGAGATTTGGGGGTTCACAGTGTCTGCATTTAAGGGGGCCTTGTCTACAGGGTAGGTAGCTGTGCCCCAAGGTGTACCAAAGGACCCAGTACCCCCTGACTCTCCTTGAGGGTGCTGGGGAGCTAACGAGGGGTTTCCATTAGCCAGTGGTCCACCATTTCCTCCTCCAACAGAACCCCAGGAACAATCCCCGCTGAGGTGGGCTGAGGTGGTAGAGTCTGGTGCACTAGAGGTCATTGTGGTGCAAGTAGTAGTAGTATTCATCATGATAGTGTTATTTGGTCCATTGGATTCAGTGTTAAGGTTGGTAGGTTGCAGACCACTATTGCCATTGTTGCTGCCTCCTATCACCTTGCTGCTTGATGTACCATCATTCACCTCAGTGTCTTCCATCATACTGATGTCTGGAGCTGCCATGCTACCCCAGCCCAGCATAGACCCCTGCTGAGGAACCGTACTCAGTTTGGAACTAATCACCGGAGCTTGTGGAGGCCGTTGGCCCTGGCACACTGGGCTTGGGGTTGGGTTCTGTGGCCAGGCACCGTGGTTGGCATTTGGGTTTAAAAGGTTTGGGTTTGACCCATTGATATAGGGGTTACTCCCACCAGTGGTATTCATGTTGCTGCCTGACTGGGTGCCCCATACAGAACTGCTGCTGACTAACTTGTTGTGGTTACTCATGTTATTGCTGCCAATACTGTTGGGCCCAGCCATGGAGTAGTGTGAGGATCCAGTAATATTTCCATTATTTGCACTGCTGATGGTTCCCACACCTCCAACCTGATTGTTGCCATCTCCATTCACAGTTACACCGACCATCATGGTGGAAGTCCCCAAAGTGGAGGAGTGCGAAGAAGCTGCAGAGGACACTGAGGAAGAAGCATTTGCTGACATCATCATTACTGTAGTTGCAGCAACAGTGCCGAGGTTCTTCTCTGAGCTGACTGAGGAGTTAGAATCTGCATCCATGCATTCTGATGCCAGTTCAGGATCTGATCCTGAACCACAGCCAGAAGAGGACGAGGAGGAACAAGAAAATGATGAGGAGGAGGGAGGCCAGACAGAGGAGCTGGTTGAACAAGCGTTATTGGATTTGTCGGTACTTCCGTCGACTAGGACTTTGCCCCAGTTGCTGTTGCTGTCACTGCTGCAGGGGGAGCCAGAGGACCAGGGGGAAGGCTCATACTGTGAATCCAATCCTGGATGCTCCAAACCTGGAACAAATAGATGGGCATAAAGTGTTAGGTTTGACAAACACACTTATTTTGTTTTTAAATGATAAAAGGGCTCCAAATGCTTCTGGTTTTCTAAACCGAGATTGCCATCTCCACTGATAATAATTAATCAAAACTACAAATAAATTTGAACCGTCCTTTAAAATGTCACACCATCCAACAGAAGCAATTCATTATGTTTTAATTAAAAAAAAAAAGAGTCTGAAGTTACCAGTAGTATATTACATTCCATTTACTAWACAAGATCCTTTGGATACACACCATCAAATTCTTCATTCACACTAACGTTGTACCATTTCTCCCCCAAGTTCAGCTTGCCAACTGTTTGACATTGTATTTTTTATTATTTTTTGCCAGGCCTGAGCTGGACGCAGCTGCCACCAATTTGTCACCACAGGAGGACTCTGATTCATGCCAAGGCCATTAACCAAGATGCAATGAGGCAGACAACGACTGTCAGTAGGAGAGGAGATGAAGTGACAGGAGGGATATTACAGAGTAGGAAAACAGGGAGAATGAAGGAACTGACGACAGAGTTTGACAGAGAAGATGAGGCAGAGGCATTTAGTATGGTAACTGTCTGAGATCACTGGTATTCAGACCTGGTTTGTTTCTAAAATAAGACCTTACAAGATCCCTTCCAATCAGGTTTCCCTTTTGTAAAYGCACACTCATTTGGCAACAAAAGCAATTCCAAACACTGGAGTGATCTGTTTTACCYAATCTCTGCTATTGACACAACATCCTGACTGTAGAAACTCGTATTTGTTTGAAGTGGAAAGCTAAATTTAAAACATGAAACTTGACATTAGAGCTACTTAATGAAGCAGCTTTTAATAAAATAGTTTTTACAACAGCAAGTACACTGCCCAACATCAAAGTTAATTCAGTTTAAATTATCCTACAAGATGATCTAAAAAAAAACAGACCAACTAGATTTTCAGGTAAAGTACGAAAGGTGTGATGTATGATTATTGAAACTTTGTGTTTATCAATATTCTCGCCCATTCATCTATGTCACAGTGATAAGTGTTCCTAGTCAAAGCCAAAGTTTGAAAATTTCTAAGCAAAGAGCCAAAGTAAGACACTTTGAGGAAGAAGTAAATGCAGAAGGAGAGTAAACAAGAAGGCATTTTGTTGTCACCTGTTTGATTAGGGGAATGGCTGACGGAATCCCGAATGGGAGCCATGCCTGGAAACAAAGTGGGAGACTGTCAAGACTTGAATAGAGATAGAGAAAGAGAAAGAAAACAAAGTGGGAGACTGTCAAGACTTGAATAGAGATAGAGATAGAGAAAGAAAACAAAGTGGGAAAAGGTTAGAAGTAGTTGGAATAAGAGGTCGATCCAATGAGAATCAAGCTAACAAAAGAAAATAAGAGGACTTTAAAAAGGCAGACAAGATCAAAAGAAGGGTTTGCTAGAATAAGTGCATTAGTATTTTCTGGAACTAAATCTCATCTGCTTACTTAGTTTATGAAATAAAACCAATTAAAAGGCTTTTACTTAAATAAAGAGTTTCTGAAAAATCATCAAGTTGTTTTATGGGCCACACATTGCCACTCTTAGCTGAACTTACTGTCAAATAAGAATGTTTATCCCTTCAGCCCAAAGTGCTTTACTCTTTAACCCCTGAATGACACTCCAATGCTATAACCCTCCAAATATTCTGTGACAATTATCTTTTTAAATTCCTAACGCCTTAGGAATCAGATTTAGATCATTCAACAGCTGGTTGGACTCTGAAGGTCTCTGATTGGATCCCGGCACTTTGTCCTCGATGTCAATGGTTCCTTTGCATCCCTTCCCCCGTCCATTTTTGCCCCCCCCCCTGCTCAGCTGCTTCTGTCGTGAGTGGTTTTTGTGTGATGCTCGTGTGTTTGTGTAAAAAACACAAAACCAAAGCTCTTTTTTAAACTCATCCTTCCTTGTGTGTGTATTCTAAACTGTAAGGTAGCGCACGTTGTTGCGAATGACCGTGGAYATTCRTTCTCCCATGTTTGTGTTTCTCTCCGGACGGATGTACTAAACAGCAAATTCCTTGTGTGTGTGTGTTAACATACTGGCCAATAAACCTGATTCTGGTTCTGACCASTGTGGACTGATTTAAACATGTATTGAGAACTTTTTAGACACACCTGTTAATACTTACAGCAAGTTAAAAATTTGGCCCGAGCTCTTCTCGTCAATGACATACTGCAGGTAAGAAAACAGACTGAATTTTCTTTTTTCTTTTCACCATTTACCTTTGAATGACACTGGTGGCAGCAGCTCCTGGCTGGTCAGGAGGGCGTCCCTGGCTTCAGTGCAGAACAGGTGACCTTTGGTTCCCAGCTTTACACAGGGGAGGTCAAAGGTCGGCGCTTGGTGAGCACAACCTCAAGGGTGTGAGGTGAGGAGACAGGTCTTGTCAGAGCAGGCAGCAGGCTGATCAGCCTCTCTTGGCATTGCTGAGGACTGTATGAGTGTGTAGATTTGTATGTGTGTGTGTGTGTGTACATTTAACTTGGGTGGGGGAAAGGGGGATGTGGTACAGATTCAGGACTGTCTTGATGTAGTATGCTCTGGCACTGCAGAAGAAGGAAAAAAACAAGAGTATTGTTAGTTTATTTTATAGAAATGATCAGTAATATCAGTTTTAACAATTAAATGTATAACATTACCCATCAACGTAGACAAACACAAGTTTCTGAAGCAATTATACAGTATATTTAAAACATCTGTCAAACTCAAGTGTTTCATAAATATATTTAAATGATCTATATATTTTTTGTACTTCTGTAGATTTATGTATTTTATCTTGTGTCTGATGTTTGTTTTATTGTACAGCCYCTTGGATGGCCATGTTGCTGAATTGTATGGTATAGTATTTTTACGGAAGAAGTTGTAAACACCACATTGAGACTTGGTTGCATTTACCTTTAAAAAAAGGTTTTGTGACGCATGGACAATTCTGGACTGTGTGATCAGTCCATGTGTTGTCACTTGTATCAATAAGTTAAAAAAACAATTTTACTTTGTCTTTATTTTATTTTATTTTTTGGAGTAAAGCAATGGCGAATGTTTGGCTTAGACCACCATTTACAAGAATTATGCCAAAGTTTTCAAGAATACAACTTCACAAAACCAAATTATGATAAAGTTCAGTGAAAACAGTTATGGTGGGAAAAAAAACTAGTGTATTTTTTAAATGAACACAGATTGCTTTTCATCATTTGATGTCTCATTAAATAGTAAAAATCCTAACTGGCTTCCTTCAAAAAAGTACCTCACACCCTTGAGGTTATGCTCACCTTAATGCTCAATTATGTTTTTATCGTGTGAACGTTCAAATTACATTTTAAATGTCACCTCCATCAGACTCCAGTGTTAACTCTACACCGCATTGATGTGACATACATGCGCAGATAAAAATGTGATGTCTCATTCAGCCGGCTTGTTTGKTTACAGAGTTAGCATTCATGCTACTTTTAGCATGTCAAATCTGAATTGTGTTCAATCAAAGCCGATAAAATAATTATCTGACACGCTCGTTTAGTTCAGTGTTTATATCTGAACCTGCCTCTGACTAGATGGTCTGGTGCAGCATTTTATTTGTAGAATGAAGTAAGGAACTGGAAAAGTATCGACCGAGTAATTTTAGGATTGATACAGTCTGCAACCGAGGCTGGATGTTACTATCATACTATCCAGGACATAGAAAATTAAAAGTATAAAATACAAAGAAACTGATGTTGTTGACAATGTTTTTGAGCTGTAAATATGTGGAACTACAGATTTAAACAGGATGACTCGAGGTTAGTGTCTTATCCCTCAATGATGAAAAAGTCTGATGGAATGTGACATGAGCRTTCACACTGCAGTCGCTTTGAAAAATATCAGATATGTWTCAAATTCAGTACCACATACTGAAAAGGCCTGGGTCGGATTTGAAAAAAATCTTATTTGCCATATTCAGACGGTCATAAGATATGGGTCGCATGGGGCAAAAAATCCAATTTGGGTCGCATTTGCCTGCAGTGTAAACGTAACCTTTGACCTCCCCTGTGGAAGCTATTTTAAACCWGTCAACTAAATACAGGTAGGAGGCTGGAGCAATACTACTGATGTTATAATACCATATCTAGATCAGACGAGTAAGCAAGGAAACCAGGAACAGACACCAACAGTATTTCACATTGTTTTTCCTTTAGATTACAACTCAGCTTAARAAAATAAAAAAAAGTTGATGTCTGCTGTAATAAATAAGTAATGTAGCATATAGCGGCAAAACTGGCAAAGCTGGATGTTTAATGCATGACTGTGTGGGTCTGTGAAAAGAACCTGCAAGGCCAATAGACTTCATATGTTTTAGAGAAGCATCCCAGATTTAAATTCCACATGGGACATAATGACTATTTTAGATGAGGTATTTATTTCCTTCTTATTTGTTTAATTTATTTTTGCCACTTGTTTAAACCAAATCTCTATGCCCAAAACCAACAAATCTAAGCAGTCGACCACAGCTTTGTGTTTTATAGATACGAAATGCTGTTTTTAATATCAAGGATTCTAAAAAATAATAATAATAATAAAAATTGTGGGGTACACATATGAAGTTAGTTCTCATTTATCTTTTTTATAATGCCCATTTCATGTTAACAACCATATTTAGTCATTGCACATTTATATTTTACTTAAAATTCTAAAATTCCCTTTGGGCAATTAACAAATAAAAATTATTTTGGGAATCCTAACTGACCTGGTTTTTTTATATTGTGTATGCTGGCTGGTTTTAGTTGTTTAAGTGCTTTTGATAAGCATACCGGCCTTTCCTCCAGCCCTTTCAAGCCAGTCCTGATGCACCTTCTTTCCACATTAGTGTTTTGTAAAATAAACATGTCGGAATCTTTTGGTCATGTTTATGAACGCCTAAGGTGGGTTTAAGGGAAATACTCAAGAAACAGCAACTCTATCATTGAAATAATAAGTGTCATATCTGAAAAAAGCCCTTGGTCACATCGGCTCAACAGTGCAACAGCAGCCAATGTGTAATAATACAAATGATTAATGTTCTGGAAGAACAGAGCTACACAGACTTCATGTGTTGACTATCCTCTTTGTCATAAGTGCCTGTGGCAATGGACGTCTGTCATTTACAGTACAGAAAAATAGTAAAAATGAAAGACTCTTATGGGTTATTTTACAAACAAGGCCCTAAACTTTCCTACCATTTTTTTCATACCACTGGAATATTGTGTATCGAGGATGAATCAGCTAGGTTAGTTGGAAAAGCAGCGTAAAAAAGAATGACCATTTGCCTTTACTAGAAGTAACAAATGCATTCAGAAACAACATGCACAACTCAAAAGTTCATTACTTTAGATTAGGGCTAGGCAATATGGCTGAAAAATGTTTCATAATAAAAGCATTTCATTATCAGTCGATATCGATAATTAATGATAAATTTTTGTTTTACCTATATGAAATAAGGACCGGGAGAAAAATGCTGATTCACACTGCCAAACAGGTAAAAGGGATCTTTCCTATTTTATCCACAACTTCCTCTTGAACTGTTGCACTTATTTTCTCCTTTCACTCCACATTATTTTGAAGCAGCTATAAGGCATGGTGGCCAACTACAAAACTGCTACTATGCATGTTACTCAACAAAAAGGAAGTGAACTAATGCCTCCAACCTTGCTTAGCTGGGCCATGAGAGGTCGATAGGTTAAAGCCTTTCCTCTGATTACATCCCTCAGAATGCTGTGCAGTTCTGTATCGGAGTTCAGTGAAACTATCAGCATTCTATCAGAAATATTTTCTAAAGAAATTGATCACATGTCTATCGCGATATATATTGTTTATTTATTGCCCAGCTCTACTTTGATTCAACTAAATCGGTGAAGGCAGGGGTAGACATAAGGATTTTAATCTGGTTGTCCGCAAAACATCTTGGTTGTCCAAAAAAATAAAAAATAAAAAATCTCAATTAAAATGTAATTTAATAGGTAGCCCATATTGTTCTGTATACAAAGTTTACTGTATACAAATGTTCACAGTCAGCAGGTTAACCGTTTCAGGAGCTGCTTGAGTAAGACTCTTCCTCATCCTCTTCTTTGAAATAGAGAACAAAAATCAACATCCAACGACCATAAGCTTTCTGCTTACAGGACCAGCATTTTAATTTAAATAGTAGTATAGCCTACTGTCTACATGACCTTATTAAAGCTGTAGTGTTCTTAGGACTGAAAACTTTCTGGATAAAGGGGATTTAAACAGCTCTCTGTCATTTTAGTGTTTTCAACTAATGTACTTATTAAAAAAAATTATAGCACAAGAAGTTCTCTGCACAGAAAAAAAATCAATTTATTTTTACTGTTTTTTAACCAAACTGTCAAGTTTCTCCACTATAATTGTTGTGTATTGTAAAGGCATTGAAACACCTGGTTGAATTTAGAAGATACTTAAGATTAACTACAAGCACCTGAAGCTGACTCAGAGAACTCTGTGATTTTAGAGGAAAATCTTTGGCTACATTCACACTGCAGGGAAATTCGACCCAAATCCGATTTTTTTGACCCATCTGACTCATATCCGATTTTTTTATGACAGTCTGAACGAGACAAATCCGATTTTTTTGACCCATCTGACTCATATCCGATTTTTTTATGACAGTCTGAACGAGACAAATCCGATTTTTTTGACCCATCTGACTCATATCCGATTTTTTTATGACAGTCTGAACGAGACAAATCCGATTTTTTTGACCCATCTGACTCATATCCGATTTTTTTATGACAGTCTGAACG